GAGTTCATTTTGGCTCACAAAGGGAGTGCATAGTCCATCATGCTGGGAAAGCATGGTGGCAGGAGCATGAGACAGCTGGTGGCACTGTATCTCAAGGAAGGACAGGGAGAGATGTTTCAGCTTGCTTTCTCCTTTGTATTTTGTCCAGGACTCCAGTCCAGAGAGTGGTGTGGCCACCTTAGTTAACCCAGCCTAGAAATGCCACCATAAACACAACCAGAGGTTTGTCTCTTATCACATCCACCCCAGATCCCAGCTTGCTTCTAAGGGGGCTAATGTGCATCACCTTTACATCTCCACACAGTGGCCACTCAAGACCTCCTTGCAGGGAATCTAATCCTGCCACACACTGCTTGTCCTCAGCAGCTTCCAGGAACCTTGATGCAAGTTTCTATGGTATTGGGATACTTGGTGTGGTGATTTGACTAAGAACAGCTCCTGTAGGCTCATATATTTGATTGCTTAGTCACCAGGGAGTGGAGTGGTCCTACTTGAGAAGGATTAGGAGGTGTCACCTTGTTGGAGTAGGTGTGAACTTGTTGGTGGAACTATGTCACTAGGTGTGGGCTTTGATGTTTCAAAAGCTCAAGCCAGGCCCAGTGTTTCTCTCTTTCTTCCTGCTGCCTGCAGATCCTCTCAGCTTCTCTCCAGCACCATGTCTGCCTGCATGCCACAATGTTCCTCACCATGATGATAATGGACTAAACCCCTGAAACTGTAAGCAAGCCCCAGTTAAATACTTTATTTTATAAGAGTTTCCATGGTCATGGTGTTTCTTCACTTGGGAAAGAAGGCTCCCAGTAGAGGCAGAAGTAACAACAGGATGTTGCAAAAAAAGTTCCACTTTCATTGGCAGAGATGTAGATAGACCATGCAAAGTTGGAAATGATTTTTGTGAAGCCATACAAAACTGGTGTTAAATCTGGACCAGCTGCTAATTGACATTTGGGGCAAGTCACTACATTTCTTAGTTCTCTATGTCATCATCTGTGAAGTAAAGTTAATACCATCTTTTAAAATGTATGTTTGTGTTGCGTGTATGTATAAGTGTGTCCATATGTGTGTATGGTGTTTAATGTATGTGTGAATGTGTATACATGTGTGTTTTGTGTGTGTGCTTGTGTATGTGTGTATGTTTCTTGTGTATGTGTGGATTTGTGTATGTTTGCAGTGTATTGTATGTTTGTGGTGTGTACATGTGTATCTCTGTATTTGCGTGTGGTGTATATGTGTTGTGTGCTTGTATGTATATGTTTGTGTGTATGTGTGTGAAGAGAGTGTGTGCATGCCTGCGTTCATGAGTACTTGTATGTAAGCAACCAAGGAAGCCTGGCATATGGTAGTTGCCCAGTACAATTTTCTTTCCCTTTCCTTTTTTTTTTTTTTTTTTTTTTTTTTGCCTCATAGTAATAATCACATTTTGTTCTTCAATGGAAATCCGGAAGGAAAGAGCTGTGTGGCCCAAAGCTATACTCACTGTACTTCCCACTAGTACCACTTCCTCCTCAGCCATGATGCTCCCTCCCACCTCTGCTGTTCTAATTACTTTTCATCCTTCATCCAAGTCTCACCCTCCCAACTCTGTCTACAGAATATTTTCTTGGATGATTAATTTGCACCTAGGTTTGGCCTGAAAGAATGTCTAACGGCATCCTTTCTCCAGAGAGTATTGTCTTTTCCAGCAGAGAAAATGGAAAGAGGCCAAAATGGGGAGGGTAGGGTCTTGAGGATGGAAAAAAAATACAGAAAACTTAGGAGACTTATTGTTTCAAGGGCTTTCCCCAAGAAATATATTAATAGCCACAGGAAAAGACTAGAGCACACCAGACATTATATTTACCAGTCACTGCACCGAGGTTCTCTGTTTTTACCATCCTGCCCTCACATACTTCTTTCTCCTAAGGTCAAGATTCCTCATAGCCTTCAAGGCTCAGTACAACTGCCTTAACTGACTTAACATGACTCAGTTCGTGTGTTTGACAAATCCCAACAATGGGTTCTGTAAATACAGGCAGGCAGGAAACTTAAAAGCTTCTTAGGGGACTGTCAGAGATCCCTTACCCACTTTTAAATTACTTATGTATTTATTTTTGGTTTCTTAAGATCTTGCCTCATACCAAGGCTGTACTTGAACTTGTTATATAGCCTGGGCTGACCTTGAACTGATGATAATCCTCCTCCCTCAGCCTCCCTAGTACCAAGATACTTGTGTGTGCCACCAGGACCATGTTTGTTTGCTTGTTTGTTTGTTCATACTGGCGATTGGTCCCGAACCTTGCACAGACTAGGCAAGTGCTCTACCACTGAATTACCTCCCTGGAGCCTTAGAGTCTCCTTTAATATGGTATTTGTCTCCTCCCTCTGCTCCCACAACTGTTACCACTGCTGCCACAATTACTTTTATGTCCTTCTTCCTTTTTTAAACACCTTACAGCAGGATCTGCAGAGATAGCTCAGTGGCTAAGTGCACTGGCAGCTCTTGCAGAAGACCTGGGTTCAAGTCCCAGTACACACATGGCAGATCACAACAGTCCTTAATTTCAGTTCCTAGAGATTTGATACCATTTTCTGGCTCTATGGGAAAACACACATATGGTGCACATACATGCAGGCAAATCATGCATATATATATACCTATAGAAATAAAAATAAATTTAAAAGAATTTAACATAAGACTTTATAAATCAGTTTGACCAAGTTACCAGTTTGCCTGGTCTTAGCACGGGAGTACTGCTTATTGAGAACCTGCTCAGTCTCCAATGCACTGGGCAGTAACAGTACCAATAAGAGGGGTGGGGAAAGACTTTTACAGTACTTCTCTCAGCTGCTGATCTTCACATATTCACTGGATACCAAGTTCCTCAATTGCTCTAGCTAGTAGGATCTATGTGATGCTATTTCACTGTCCTGTGGACCCATGTTTTTTTCGGCTTTTCCTTGCTACGCCCTGGAACAATATCTGCCCATGAGATTAACTCCATTTTATGAGAACTGCTGTATTTATATTGAGAAGCATTACGAGTCTGTGCAAAAGGTTTTAAAAGTACATTTGTCCAATTTCTTAGTAGAGATTTCTGTCTAGAGACTGGTTTGGTGTGGTCAGTAAGTAATAAAATCCTTCAGCAGCCCACCCTGCCTTGTTCTTTCCAGCCTCTGCTAACCTCTAGCAGCTGTGGTATTTTAAACAACATTTTCACATATGTGGGTATCAGGGCCACCTAATACAATTCTATTAGCACCTTAGACATTCCTAGTTAGTAAGGATCTTCCATTAACATAGTTGGAATAGAAGCCTCTGAGCCTGCAAATGGAGCTCAGTGGTACAGTGCTTGCCTAACATGTTCAAGGATCCGAGTTAAATGAACAGAACTCCCCCAAAACATACATACATACATAATACATACATACATACATACATACATACATACATACATACATACATAGAAAACATTTGTAGCTTCCACTAATTGGTTGTGTTTGTTCTAACAAAGGACACAGAAAGCCAAACCCACACTCACATATTCAGTTGCCCTTCAAGTGTTGAAGAATGTTTACAGCCTTTCCTCTTGCCCTTCTCTTCTAAGAGTTCTTTCAATTGGGCCAGGGTAATATGATTTTGGAATCTTGGCCACATCCTTTAAGTCTGTTTCACTTCACTTCCCTTGCAAAGTGCTTGACCTGAACAGGAGTGTAGAACTAACCTTCTACCCTCTTGCTTCTTGAGTAAATTCCTAACTTTCTGACTAGTGTGTGTGTGTGTGTGTGTGTGTGTGTGTGTGTGTGTGTGTGTGTGTTGATACGTGAACCATCATACACAGATTCACTAGGTGAATACAGAATGAAGATAGTTGAAACCATTTTTATTTAACTTGGGGTTAAAAAGAACCTATCTAAAATTTATATCTGCCGGGAAACTCAGAATATAATATTACATAAATAGCGATTCCAGATGTAAGTTAAAGCTCTCTACTATGAGGGCCCTAATCCATCTTGCAAGTGAAGAAAACAGAGGAGACTGATGCAGAGGAGAGACAATATGAAGACCCAGGGAGTGTCTTAAGTAACCTTTCTGGGTGATGTAACAAAATACCTGACAAAAGTAAATTGAAGAAAAGATTTCTTTTGGTCAGTTGGAGAAAAGATTTGGTCCATCAGGGAGAGGAAGATGCAGCACAAGGGTGTGAGGTGTCTAGTAGTGCCATCTGTAGCAAGGAAGCAGAGTAACGAATGCTTGTACTTAGTTCCATGTCCCCAGCCCATAGGATTATACCATGAAATAGTGGGTCTCCCTTCCTCTGTCACACTTTTCTGGGGACACTCAAGGAGAGACAAATAGGTGATTCAAAATCCAGCCAAGCTGAAGGTAAAAGTGAACTACCACAGCAAGATACTATGTAATGGAGGCAGAAATTAGAGCGTACGGAAGCTTGTTGGGAAGGACAGTGTCTCCTTTGTGTCTTCAGAGAGGGCTTAGCTGCTTTCCCCCTGACTCCAGATTTTTAGTCTCCAGAACTGTGAGAATACAGTTCATGGTGTACATCTTTTGGCTTGTGGCAACTTGTTACAACCTCTAATAGGTCAGCACAGGAATAGCACATCTTCAACAGAAAAAGAGAAACACAAATATGTGGCACACAGGATTAGTTCAGTGACCAAGGTGAGGAGCAGGAAATTTCATGAACTTCTCAGGTACCAGTTATTTTATACTTCTTCTTTCCCTGCCCCCCCCATTGTTGTTGAGCAAGTTTTCTAGAGGGTTCTATTTTGTTTTCCTATACATTCTCTATTAATTCTATGATTTTAGTGGTTTTCTAATAGCTTTTTAACCTTGTACAATTTTTTGGTTTTGTTTTCCAACTTGTCTTGGTTTTATTTTGCATCTCATTTTCTAAATTCCTTGGTTAGAGATTTAGTTGCTTACATCCCATTCATTGTAATTTTTAGGTGTAAACACAAAGGCTAGGAATTGACTTTTGACTATGACATTAACAGTGGCTGTATTCTGTTTTCATATCAAGGACTTTCACTTTCAGTTTATTTAATGGTTTATAATTGCATATTTGTATAGTTTTCTTTTCAGAGTTACTGTTAGTGTACTACCTCACATTGTACCTTGGTCTAACTGATCTTGGAACTTGTTATCATTATACAGAAGCTATAAAAATTAGGATTTCAGTAAACAGCTTTCTTTATGGCAACTTTTAAGTAAAGTTTATCATAGATGATTATATATATGTATATATATTTACATATACACATATATACATACACACACATATATATGTATATATATATATATATATATATATATATATATATTTCTTATCTAGAAAGCAGCAACCACAGAATGTCAGCAGCTTTTGGGATTCAGATATTCTTCAAATAGTTACACCACTAAAATGTCTGACTGTATTACACTCAGAAATTAAAGAAAAAAATACTAAAATCCTACCCATACCCTTGACATACCCATACCCAATGACACTGACTTTGGCTTTTGAATTATGTTCTCCAGATTCCAGAGTAAGTATCAATCATTTGTAAGGTTGAAATCAAAGCCCATTCCTCTGTAAAGTCTTCACAAAACACCCTTTTCATACCATGTGCTTTGCCCACTGTCTAGAATTCTACTCTGCCTAACAAATCATACTATGAACTCCTTCTAGTTAAGACTGTGTCTCATACTTCTTTCTATACCTTCAGATCATCCCTGGCTTCTCCCTTCTTTAATCACATAACAACAAACAGCAAACACCATGAGGGTTTGATGCCACGTTTTACAGGACACCTATGAAAGTGTCCTCCAAAATATTAGGTCAAGTGTTTGAAGCTGGAAAAGGGCACAGTCAAAGTCAAATTTCAAAGCTTAAAGTCAATGCCTGAGAGGCATGATATGAATATCCCCAAATTTAAGAAATACACAGTTGGACCACAGGAAGCAGGGGAGTGGGGAGTCAGGCTGACATGTCTGCACACTACAGCACCCACAGCTCATGTTCTGACAAGTATAGCAGTTGTGTGATTTACTTTTTGCATTGCTGTGGCAACGGCAACTTAAAGGAAGGAATAATTTCTTCTGGCTCACAGTAGAAGAAGGAATTCAGTCCATCACAACAGGGAAGGCATGGCAGCAGGAACATGAGGCAGATAGTCACACAGCTCTACAGTCAGCATTCAGAGAGCAGGCAGGAAGTGGGGCCAGGCTATCCGCCCTCAAGGTTCACCTTTGTGACTACTACTCCACCAAGATTCAGTCTCCTCAAGGCTCCATGACCTTTCCAAATAGCACCACCAGCTGGAACCCAAATGCTGCCACATAGGAGCCAGTAAGGGACATTTCTCTAAATCCCAGCGGTGATGATGGCAACAGGCTCCAAGAGAACTGATTCAAAGAATAACCAGCACACAGATAAGACAGTTGCCAACTTGGCACACCCCCTGTGTGAGCTCACTGATGCCCATGGCAGACCTGTGAAGAAGACAAGCAAGACCATTATGTGCATTTTGGAAAATAGGTGTTTAGGGTTCAAAAAAAATTAATTAACTTTCCCAAGGTCATAAAACTAGCAGACAGTTGAAGCAGAAGCAAGCCAAGATCTTCTGAGTCCTGTCCACAGCCTCTATTCTTTAGGCTACAGTGACTCCAAATTGACTTAGGAACTCTAGACAGAAGTCTCTGCATTTCATCACCAACCTGAATGACCAGATTGCCACCCGTGGAATTCCCTTTGGAGCAACATGTGCTTGGAGACGCTAGAGGATAAACACACAATCCCTGCCCTTAAGAAGTCCACAGACTTGTCACGCGATAACTGCAATGCTCAAGACAAGTCATATCTACTGCGAGTGCTATGACAGAATTGAGGTAATTAATAAGAATATTAAGCAACATTTGTTGAGCATTTACTATGCACCAGGTTTTGTCCTCAACACTTAGCTATGCCGTGAGTAGCATGATACACCACAATGCTTAGCACACAGCCAGAGTTTAAGCACTGGCAGACATTTTGACTATATTCTTACAAATAAAATCGGGGGTTCTCACCCACAGAAAAAGGAAAGAATGCTTTACACGTAAATTACCTAGAATAACGTTGAGGAGAAGCAGATGGATCTCCTGAGACATGGGATCTGAGGGAGAGATGGTGTTAAAATAAGTAGACGCAGCCGGGGCGGGGGTGGGGGGCAGATATTATTCTACCATCATGGGAGCAAAGGGTTGGGGCATGAGCAGCACCAAGGTGAGGGAGAGGTATGGAGAGTAAACATTATGTTAGGTCAGCCAGAGACTGGCTACAAAAGCAGGGCCTGCAGCTAGATAGCCCAGAGAGGCTGAGCCCTCCCCAGCCTTGACCTGGCTCCAAGGGAGGCCCAGATGGTCAAGGCTATTTGTTTGTAGGTTACATTTTTTTCCTGAACAGACTCCAAATCCTAGTTTCCAAAGAAAAGAGAAAACAGACTTATTGGGTCAAAGGCTTTCCCTGAGAAATGTCCTTGTGGCTATGTGCCAGCACAGGATTCCCCCATAGACCAGACCAGCAGTCGGCAGGCTGGAGCCTTCCTCAAACCCTCCAGTAAGTCAGGGATTAGAAGTCATTCCCTGGGAGACTTTCGGCAGAGTCATGTGCCCAGCAGCTCTGCCCCAGTATTTAAGCCCGCCCAGCTTTGGCATGCATCCTGGTGACGTCTCAGTGCCTCACAGGCCCGCCCTTTCCTGTTTGGCATAGCCCTGTGCTTCCTGCCAGGCCACATCTCCTCTGAGTGTTCCCTAAGAGTGGTGTTCCCAACCCTTGACCCCAAAACCAGGGTACGTTGTGGCTTTGACTTCCGCAGCTGGACAGAGCCATGGAAGTGCCTCTGCTGGCAGCCATTCCACTGCCCTGTAGGGGCAGCACTGCCTGTCTACTCTCATGCCCCAGCACCCCCTGCACACCCCTACACACCCCCTATCTATGAGCCTGTCCCAAACAAAGGGTGGGAGGAGACGGGCAATGTACCTGCGTGCAGATGATAAAAGGACCTAGGGGTATTATGTGTTCCAAACTTCAAAAGGTTAGGCAAAATTCAATGGGTCAGGTTTTGTTTTGTTTTAATCACACACAGGGAGCTCTGCAGTGCCGCAGGAAGTGGAGGGTGGGGAAAGGATATTTCTTTCCTGACTTGTGGTTAGGGAAGAACTAGGTCTTCTAAGTCAGAGACCTCTGCTCAAATCCCTGCTCTGCTGGCTACCATCTCCTGTGTAACCCTGGGTGAAACGCCTAACCTCTCTGACCACTGCAAGCTCAGGTGTTCAGTAGAGTCTGTCTCATCAGGAGGGCGAGCATTTGGTATGTATTACCGGCATGAGGGGTGAGTTCAACGCTGTCCATTACTTCTTCTCATGCCACCCCTTTCTCCCTGGGATCTGAAGACAGCTGTGCTGGAGCACGCTGGTCTGTTTTACTTCACAGGCTGTTTGTCACATGTGAATCTGAGTCACCCTGAGTTCCTCCTGCCTGGAGGCTGTGCTCTCCTGGAAAGGATCTGGGGCTGTGCCAGAGTGGACATGCTGTTCTGGGAACCCCGCAAAAGCTGACAGGGGATGTGAGATTGCTCACAGAGGCCTAGGCTTCTGTGGCCCCGGAGCTTCTTTGTCCTAGGGCATTTCCATTGAGGATACAGACATGTGAGCCTATAGGCTGCTGGGAAGAGCACAAACGCTCATGAGAAGCAGCATGTGAGGTATCCGGCACCCTGGTGGCACCCAGAGAAACCCCAGTGTTCTTTTAGTGGAGAAGATAGACTAATGACCAAGAGACAAGGAAGAAGGAAACTTGTTCTGCCATGCCCTTCTCTTAGTACCTTATAAGATGGCTTTCATCCCTGCTCTCAAATGTCTACTCATTTGGAAGGGCAGGGTTATTGCCACTTCCAGATGAAAAGTACCATCGTTAGTAAAGTGACACCATTTCCTGAAGTCACACCATTTAGCTGTGGTCTGGTGTGGCCTTGTCACCTGCACTCCTGTGGCTCACATAAAAAACAGGTGTGACTGCCCAGTGTCCTCGTGGCTGGAGCACAACGAAAGGAAGGAGGTGGGGCATGAGGAGACCTCTGCCTCACAGACAAAGTATCAGAATTCAGGGAGACCTGGAGGACATGAGAAAGAGGGACAGAACTCAAGCCTCAAGAACTCAATCCTCTGGTATAGGGGGATGGGTAATCATTCACATACCCTTTCAGCATCAAGCTTCAGCAGGGCTGCCAGACACGTGGAAGTGGCCTGCCAATTAGTCAACCCCCTCAAGTAGCCCTGATCCCCCATTAAAACACAATTCTCCCTTGCTGTAATGCTGCATGGTGAAATCCCAGCACTTAAGGGATAGTGGCAGGAGCAGCTCAAGTTTGGGGCCAGCCTGGTCTACATAATGAGATACACAGGAAGAAGGAAGGGAGGGAAGGGATGTTAGTATTCAGGCATCTGTACTGGCCTGTCAGGATACGACCTCAGCTGCAGCCACTAAGAGCACCACCTGTGCATATTCACTATGTTCCCTTCTAAAAGGGCACTGCCCACCTCTCTCCCCCCCTCTGTCTGTTTCTCCCTCTCTCTCTTCTCTCTCTCTCTCCCCTTTCCTCTCTCCTGCTGCTCCCATCCCTGTAGGCTCATCTCCCCTTTCCCCTTTTTATGATCCCTTTTCCTAATTAAAAAAAAAAAAACCCTCTGCTTGAACCCTTGCTTTTCTTAATTTACAACAGGGGGATAGGGTAAGGGGGAGGGAAAAGAAAGGAAGAGGAAAAGCAAGCAAAATGGGGAAGGACACAGGACCAAAGATTGATGAACAGGTTGAAGTGATGGTCAATTGAGTTGGATATGGAAGGCAGAGGCAGGAAAGTCAAGAGTTCAAGGTCACCCTTGACTTTTAAATTGAGTTTAAGGCCAGTCTGGGCTAAAGGAGAGAGACCTGCAAAGTGGGGAGAAATCTGCTTTGGGAACAGGGATGGGAGCAGCAGGAGGCTCAGAGCAGAGAAGCAGCTCATGGAAACCTGCCTAACTTTGCAGAGGTGTACAGACAGCAAGAACCCAGGCCCTCCAGGCTTTCTACTGGTAGCCTGCCCTTTGGTGGCATATCTATCCTCCCTCAAAGGCAAAAGGTGGCAAGCCTCTGGAGCCCAGTCCCCTGACCATCTTCTTCCTGCCTGGAACCCCACACTTGTTCTAGCATAATAATAGTTACTGACATGCCGCCATCAGAGACACATGAGCTTCCACAGTGTGCCCTTGATTGGGAGGAGCCTTTCAGATGTCACACCTCACTCAGGTTTTAGTGGGATTCTTTTTTTCTTTTTATTTCATTCTAAAATTACAGTTATTTGATGGGGGTGAGGGATGGCATATGTGCCATAGGGCATTTGTGGAGATCAGAGGACAACTTTTAGGAGTTGGCTCTCTCCTTCCTCCATTGGGGACCTGGGGATTGAACTCAGGGCAGCAGGCTTGGTGTTAAGTACCTTTACCTGCTGAGCCCTCTCCCTGGCCTGGGGTTTGTTTTGTTGTTAGGAGTAGAGGATACTTTAGGGCTATCTTTAGTGACAGGCGCCTGTTGCTGTTCTGGAAGACTAGCAGTTAGTTGTCTTGTCTCCCTGAGCCAATAGTGGGGGACTCCACACTCAGGTATCCATTGCAGGACCTCTGTGTTACACTGACACTTCCCAGATTATGGTGGAAGCAGTGTTTGTGACTGCTTCTACCCCTGTCTATGCAGTCACTTCAGCCATCCTGCTATTGTTCCTGTCACAAGCCTAGTGTGTCCCCACATCACAGCCTTTACATTCGATGTCCCGTCTACTTCAAATGCCCTTCTTCCCAATCTTCAACCCAACCAAACCACAACCACACTCAGGCCTCTGCAAATGCCATTTCCTCAAGGAGCCTGTCCTGAGTTCATCATGCAAATGGCCCCTCATGCTACCCATCTGGTCACACATAGCTGTTCTGATGATACGAATTACTACATGAACTGCTGTATTATTTACTGCTTACTCATCTACTGTGCTTCTCCTCCAGGAGAGAGTGAACTCCACAGAAGACACATGGTCTGTCTGCTTCCCTGCTAAATCCACGGTATGAATGCTTGCAGGGACTGTGTCCCTTCTGGTAATAAATAAACAAAGAATGGAGGGAGAAAACTTGTCTTATTTTACTTCTTATTTATGAAATCAAACCTTTCTGGAGAAGGATTACAAGGATGAATGCTTGAAGCCAGGGAGACCTGCCGTCACTGGGGAACGCTCAACCTCAGAAGCCAGCAATTATTCTCTATGGCTTCAACAAAGAACAGCTGCCCTTCAGAAGACAGAACCTGGGTGGAGACTTAAGCCATGAAAATAAATAATCTGGCTGTGTGCAGGGGCCCAATCTGGAGGCTGAAGCCAAAGGAAGTAGAGTTTTGAGGGCATTGTGAGTTACATAGCATGTTTGAGGCCGGCCGGAGCTACATGGTAAGACCCGATCTCCACAGAACAAAACATGAAAAAGTAAAATCAAATAATGTGCCTGGGGTGGTGTGTGGCATATATGGTGTGGGGTATGTGTGTGTACTGTGTGGTATGTGGTGTGTAGGGATGTGTGGCTGTGGTGTGTGTGTGTGTGGTGTTGGAAGGTGAGGGATGTGGAGGGTATGGAGTGTGTGTGGTAGGGGTGATATGATGGGGTGTGGAGTCAGGGGAGTTGAAGGGGGATAATATGTGTGTATGTTCAGATACCTATGGATGTCATGGGCAGTTAAGAGAGATTTGTAAACAACTTTTAAGGCACCAGCAGGCTTGAGAGATGGCCTTACACAAGCAAGAGGATCTGTCCTCTTCATTGGGACCTAGACTCAGAAAGAGTTCTGTGACGAATCCAGCTGACCAAGAAACCTGTGGAGGAGGAAGAGAAGGTATTCCAAGCAGTGGAGTAATCTGGGCAAAGTCATGGAATGATGACAAATTCTGGGACATAGAGGTGACAGAGTCAGACTCCTGTGTGGTCCCTATGCTAGTAAGGCATAATAGTGACCAGCTGAGAGGTAGACAACCTCAGGTGGTGTTAGACAAACCCAAGTTCAAGAACGGACACTGCACCAGTTCCATCTTTCTGGCTTCACTCCCTGAAAAGCAAGGGCTGGGAGGAAGATGGGAAGAAGTATCCTCTCCCTCAGGGTGCCCTCGGCAAAGATGGAGGATAGCACCCAGAAGCTCTGAGGAGGCTTGTGTTTAAAGAGAAAACACTGAAACGGCTGTGTCTTTGCTTCAGCTTGCTTGAACCACAATATTTATTTGGAATTTGAAACTCATTAAGAGTGGCTGTGAAGTGTTTACCCAGGGTAACTTGGGTTATCAAGAGACTGAGAAAGTTTGACTGAAATGACCCTGAATCCCTTCTGAGCCTTCAGTGTGCCAGAGGTCTGCAACACAGGAAGCACAGGGAGACACTGTGAGACTTGGAAGTTGCTGTTGGTCTCCAACTCCAGCTCACACTTTGCCATTCAGTCCCTGTGCAGGTTAAAGTCCTGGGATATCTGGAGTGTCAGATGCTTCCTTCATAACAACCTGGTATCACAGACTTGTGGGCTTATTTCAAATAAGCAGTACTTGGCACATAACAGGTCCCAGCCAAGTACAAAGCTGTGCACAAAGCTAGCCAAGGCTTCCCTCAGTAGCCTACTCCTTGGTCAGAATAAGGTCCTTTTGAATGCTTCCCATGGGATGTTCCCCTGCCCCCAAATACACTATCAGGTCTCGTTTATAAGGAGATATAATGTGGGTTTGGGCCTCAGAATATAGCTTCAATGAATTTTGGGAATTTAGGTATGTGCTTGGAACCACTCCAAGGTTAAAAATCTTTTAAAAACTAAAGCATTATTAAAATTATCCTGAAAATCTTATCCACTGTGTTTTGATGTCCATCCATTCCCAACCCTGGCTATCTGCATCTAACTGGAAACTTCAAATGCAAAAGTCAAAGTTGAAATGACCAGAACATTTAAGCAGCAAGCATTGAGAGGTGCATCTGTTTGCACTGCCAGACAATCTACAGTCTATGTTTCCTAGCTCTGGCCACAAGAATTAGGAGAGGGCTCCAGACAGGGAGGAAAGGAATGAGAGAGCTCTGGCCCTTAGTTGTCAATGCAGGCTGTTTGGGAAATGATTGTGTGATAAACACAGTGATTGCCCTTAGTTCTGGGACCCACAGTGAGGGTAGTCTTCGAGGCAGTTAGTGTGAAAGGCCTGAACCTAACCATGAGCCAGTTCAGCCTATTTCACAGGAGTTCACCAGGCACAACAGTAAAGAGCTCAGGTTTGGGCAACTCCACTAGACCAAGTGTACCATCCAGAGCCATCGCCATTCTCCAAGTAAATAAAGCATAAAGGCAGAGAGACTAGCACCAATGAGTACCTACTGTGTGCAAGGTGCATTATGTAGATCGTCTTACAGTGAGGCTCACCGAAACCTGTAGAAGAAAGAAGCCCCTGTGTTTGCTGAAGAGGTGACTCTGAATTGTGCCACTACTGGCTGCACCCCTATCTCCTTCCTCAGCATCTCAAGGCCTGTGGACACCAGGACATCCTACTTTGTACCTGCATGCCTTTACATAAGTCACTTAACCTCTCCATGCCTCTATGTCTGCTAGTGAAACAGAATGTTAAGACAGTGCTGGCCAATGGTTTCCATCCTGTGCACATAGCTTGTGAACCTGCCAGATGCTGGAGCTCACCTTATCCTCACCGCCACCACCCAGTGTCTGAAGCAAGTGCACCTGGCAGGGTCATCCGGTTCTTAATTGGCCTGAGAGTTCTACTTAGACCTGTCTACTAACAATAACAAGTGAAACAGAACATTTCATTAATTGTTTTTTAAATATCCTAGGCTTTATAGATATGTATATATTCAGTTTTCAAAACAATTATATGAGGTAAGTGCTGCCAACCCCAATTTAACGATGCAGAAACTAAGACTGAGGGAGATCAAGTCATGTTCTCAAGATTATAGAGTTGGTGACTGTCCTACAGAGACTGAAGAGCAGTCAGGCCCTACCTCACCCCCTGGGACTGGCCATAAGACTCAGAATCTGGGCTATGCTGTATTTAGCCAGCCTGGAGCAGTGACTGCACCAGAGACAGACATACAGCAGGAACGTACACACACACACACACACACACACACACACACACACCTACCTGTGTATCCTACACCAGGGAGGTCTTGGAGGAGGAAGCAGGCAGGTTCCCACAGAAGGAACTTTCTGGAGAAGGACTGTTGCCCACCAGCTAAACCTATAACACTAGCCACCACTGCTCTGGTTGTTCAGAGTCGTGTCCCCCGCCCCCCGCCCGGCCCCCAGCCCGCCCCCAAGTACCTGAGAGACTGAAATCTCTACTTCTCTCACTCCTCTCTTGCTCTCAGCTCATATGGTTAAGCCTGGTTTTAGGCAACTGTGCACAGGGCATCAAGTGTATTTACAGCATGGAGGAAAGTGTAGAAACTGCCAGGATTTTCTTTATATCTCCTATTTTCAGCTAAAATAATTTTTAGTTTTACAGTCTTTCTCATTACTATTTTAATAAGAATGTACATTTATAACTTGAGAACTAGATTGTCACACAGGGGGTTCAGCCTGTGGCCTACAATATGGCTCAATCCTCATTTGGGGTACCCACGAGAGCTCAGAGAGTCCTGACATTCTGGCTCTAGTCCAGCTCTTAATCATCATGGGCCAATTTTTACCTCCACTCTATACCACAGGTTAGTTAGTACTTTTGCAATGCCATTGATAAAAAGCACACAGGGTGGAAGAATGGCTTGAGCTCTGTAATCATACACATTCAGTTAGAATTTCTCACTCTGGAGTGTGTGAGGGAAGGCAGCGGCAGGAACTTGGTAGCAGTGCAGGAGTCACGGAGCTGGAGTCACAGAGCCAGGAGCCAGACTCTGGCTCTACCTCCTGCTTGGCTGGCACAGAGGGCTAGACCTGTGGGGACCTGCCGCTGAAAGCCCAGGCTTTGTTTACATACGGAGCCAAGGGTGGAAACTGGCCTTGTAAGGATGAAACGCTGGAGGGCCACTGGGGGAGGCAAAGAGAAGCAGCCTGATAAGAATCTGCGAGTGAGTACGTGAAAGAATGCACTGAAACTCCCTCCCAGGATCACAGAAACCCGACCGAAATTCGACCTTAGGGACCCGCCCGCATGCCCCATCCTGCTGGCTAGACAAGCAACCCGAGGCTAAAATGGCTTTTGAATTGTCTCCAGGCCAGGCCACCTGCCTCCTCTGTGGGCGCGACTGAAGGGCAGGGGCTGTAAGCCTGAAAGAAGGGAACCTCGCTTTACTGAGCACCTACTAGAAGTACTGTTTCAACTGTTATGCTATTTTGATTCATTCCCGTTTTTCATCTTGGAAAGCACGGTGCCAGATGGGATAAGTCGCTTGTCCAATGGAATAGCTTGGGTCCAAATTTAACGCTGTCTCCACCTTTCCCCACCCAATGGCGATGCCCAGAAAGGCGCCAGAGCAAACATACGAGGTGCCAGTGTCTCTGGGCACCACCGCCCCCACCCCGCAGCAGGGTCATTCACCTGCGGGTCCACTGGTCTACTACTTACTGGCCCCACCCGCTCGGCGGATTTCCGGAAGCGCCCAGTGACTGCTGACCCAGAGACGTTGGTCCTACCCCTGGCGAGCTTTGTTCAGAAAAACGTACAGGTGCACCCCCTGGGCGCAATTCTCTAGTCTCCGCCCGGATCGCAGCCCTGCATCCGGTCCGGAAGCAATGGAAACTGGTCCTGCCACAGAGTTCTGGGTAGGGCCCTGCCCACGCCCACCCCACTGCTGCCCCAAACAGGTTTCTTCACTTTCCCTGTACTGACTCTTGCCCCAGGAGGGAAAAGAAAGCCGATTACTCAATGTGCCCTAGGATTGTTCTGGTTCCCAAGAGAACTAGCCACCAGCCAATCAGCCAGTTGGACCCTAATGAAGCCCTGGCAGGTACTAGGGCTACAGCTCCTTTGACTACCCAGCAAATCTTTGAGGGTCCTCATATGACTTCCATGCTCTGTGCTCAACGTTAAGTCCCACGAAGAAATGGGCGGGATGTAAGGGACCACAGCAGTCGATGAGATCCACCTGGCTGTAAATGATGCCAGAGGCCAATAATTGGCTTGCCAAGCCAACCTGTTACTGGACCACCATCAGTCCTAGCCAGCTACACCACAGCAGCTTTCCTGGAAGCTGCAGCTCCTTTGTTTCAGTGGGCTTGGCTTGAAGAAAACCCAAGCAAGTAGTGGAATGCATTTATTCCAGAGTATTTGTAACACAGCTGTAGGCACCATGGCTACCAGCTTGACTCAAATATACCCATCCTAATGAGCAAGAGAGGTTTCGAGTCATTTTGAAAGGAAGTGGTATACACAGACACAGTACCCAGACCTCCCAACACACAAGATTGAATTACAAATACTACTTAGTAGGTTTACAGCACCTAAAACCAGCATAGATGTGTAAGACACATCATATCCGATGTAGCATTTACAATTGGGATGTTAGGAGGTGAAAAACTGGTTGAGGGAAATGTAAAGCTTTGCCCAATATTCTATCCAGGTCTTTCAAATCTAAGGCAGTCTCCATCTTAGAAGCCCAGCTTCTGTTACAGAGTTGCCTGATCACAGCTCTGAGGCTGGTGCTCCTGGCTATACACTCCTCAAGATGCCCAGAGCCCCTCTGATGAGATGAAACAGCACTCTACAACTTGCAAGCGTCCTCTGGCATTATTCCCTGGCCACTCTTCTCCCCTTGAGTCCCAGCATCTGCACCTGCTCCAGCCTGGGAAAGAATACAGCATGTGAGGCCATCCCTGTTCCTGTGAGTGACCCTCTTGAGAACCAGGCATGTAGGGACAGGTCCTGTCATCCACAGATGTCTCAACAAGCAAAACAGTTTGGCAATTACATATACCCTTTGCCGAAGTTCCTGCAATCTCCCTGGACTCCAAGGAGTCAACCCACTCTAGTGTCACCACAAGGGCTGCCTAAAGGTACTTGCATTGACTTATTTACCTAACCTCTATTTTAGCTCCCATGACATGCCTGTCATGGAACTCTGAGCTACTGATGCTCTCTGGGGCCTTAAAAACTTCTTCAGTCACCTGAGATGAAGAGAGTCCCTCGAACTATACTAACCTAGAAGTCCCACAGGGCCAGGCACCATCACATGGTAACTGCTGTGCAGGGGTGGGCTGACACATGCTGTCCTTACCAAATGTGTGTTATGTTGGCTAGTTTTTGTCCACTTGGCCCTAGTCACTTGGGAAGAGGAAACCTCAGTTGAGTAGCTGCCTTCATTAGACTGATCTGCAGACGTCTGTGAAGACATTTTCTTCACAGAAAGAAAGAAAGAAAGAAAGAAAGAAAGAAAGAAAGAAAGACAAAGGCCTTTTTCCCCAACTTCCCTTCTTTTTTAATGGAGGGAGATTCAGCCTCCAGAGTCTGGAGACAACTCCTGGCCACTACCTTTGCCTACATGTTGTCCTGAGTTGGCCCTGACCCTAAACTGTAAACAAATTTTCATCTCATTCCCACAGCTGTCTTCTGGGCTCTGAGCACAAGGAAGGAGGAGGGCAGTGACTCTACTGTCAGACGGTTGAAGAGAAAGAAGCTGAGAGAAGCAGAGTGGAATGGCCTGCCATGGTCACTCAGAGTCCTCAGTTTCTCCACCCCAGGGCAGAGCACACTGAGGGCTCCAGTCCAGTTGCAGGCCCACACTGTCCTTTGACAAACTTAAGAGAAGGACATAAGGATCTGCCTGGGCTGCAGAGCTTTGGGGATTGCCTGCCTACCTCCCCCACCACTCCTCACAGGCGAATGGCTGTCCTCACTGTACACACAGGCTGGC